GAGACCCACTTACCTCATGCGTTGGTCAAGGTGCTCTCTTCCATCTTCTGAGGATCTTCTACTCCTTTCCAATCCAACTAGGTGATCTGGCTCCTGTTTTTGCAAGACTAGCATCACTATTTATCGTGTCAGGGGCGAACCAAACAGTTGTATTTTTTTAAAAAAGCACAAAGTTTGCAAAGTTGGCATTCTATTAAATGTCCTTTGACCAGTAGCCGGCCACTTGAAGTGGCTCTGGTGTTGCTTTAAGAAGGTCCTCCATTGTGCATGTGGCACAATCCGGGTGTTCCCTGGACAACATCTTTGTAGACAGCTGATTCTCTCACTCCAGAAACAACTTGCAGCACGCAACCAAACAAGCAAACCAACCAACAACGGACCTTTTCAGGACCAACCATGACTAGCATCACTGACTTTGAATTAGCACATCAGTTTAACCTCCCCTCTGCCCTCATAGAACACAACTATTCTTCCCTTCATATCCTAATGAGGAATACAGTAGATACAGTATGTGTGATATATTTAGGGTGAGGTCTATCGCAGCATCAAGCATCATGGTTTTCCAAAGCCAATGGCACAGGTGTCCTCTTTTTAATCTTATTTGAGTGTTTTGGTGTTAAGTTCATGTTTTTCATGCACATGTTCTGGCATCCTCTCCAACACCTTTGCATTCTTCTACAGTCCTTTGTGTCATCATTTTAGGACAGGCTTCCTCCTTATTTCTTTGGGAGATCTCTTTTTAAATGGAAGGTGTCCAGCCTCCCCACCCAGCTGAGTTTTCACCCAGTCCTTCTTTTGGAACCTCAGAAACTTTGTCAGAGGAAGCATGTTGAAAGAAGCACTGTTGAATCCTTAATGGCAGCCTTTTAAAGGTTGAAGAATGGATGCATTGTATTTGTGTACATGCCTTCAAGTCACTGTTGATTTATGGCAACCCTGTGAATCTCATAGTGTTTTCTTAGGCAAAGAATACTCAGAAGTGCATTATACTCACCCACAAATGTCTGACTCTTGGCCATGGCAGCACATGTTTATAGAGGTATGAAGCAGTAACAAAAGGCAAGGTGTGGAATGAAAGACTTGGCATGTTTTGTTCCCTTGGGATATCATCTAATAACACCAGAGATGCATTAGAACAGGCATAGGCAATCTTTGCCCCTCCAGGTGTTTTGGACTGCAACTCTCACAATTCCTAACAGCCGGTAGGCTGTTAGGAATTGTGGGAGTTGAAGTCCAAAACACCTGGAGGGCCTAAGTTTGCTCATGCTTGCATTAGAACCAATTGATGGTCCTTCTTACAGTTCCATCTTAGAGCATAAAAAGGTAAAGGTAAAGGTTGTCCCCTGACATTAAGTCCAGTTGTGTCCGACTCTGGGGTGTGGTGCTCATCTCAATTTCTAAGCCATTTCTAAGCCAAAGAGCCGGCATTGTCCATAGACACCTCCAGGGTCATGTGGCCAGCATAACTGCATGGAGCACCGTTACCTATCTTAGAGCATAGACAAGCATTTTTTGAAGGATGGCTTCCATAATTTCCAGCGCTGAAGGGGGGTGTCACAATGGGTTAAACCTTTATGCCAGCAGGACTGAAGACCGACAGGTCAGAGGTTCAAATCCGGGGAGAGTGTGGATGAGCTCCCTCTGTCAGCTCCAGCTCCCCATGCGGGGAGATGAGAGAAGTCTCCCACAAGGATGGTAAACATGAAGCATCCAGGCGTCCCCTGGGCAACGTCCTTGTGGACGACCTATTCTCTCACACCAGAAGCGACTTGCAGTTTCTCAAGTCGCTCCTTACACGAAAAAAAATCACGCATGGCTGTGCTCACGATGGCTCATCCACACGTGCCAGTGGTCACTCCCTGTCGGTGCGTGCCTGGCCTCAGAAGCGATGGAGCCCCTTGAAGGAGACCTGTCCCTCCTCCTTCCGTGAGCCAGGTAGGACCCCCGCCCTTGGAGGCAGCTCCTCCTCCTCCTCCTCCTTGGCCGCTCCTCCTTCGCCAGCCGCACTTGCCTGTCCGGACACTCCAGGGTGGATGCGCCCCAAAGAGCCAGGTATGGGGTGGGCCAGGAGGGGGTTGCCTCGCTGCCCCCCCGCCCTTGGGCTCCCCTTCAGCCTGGGGCGGGGCTGTGGGTGGGGGCGCTTGGGGTCGGCTTCCCAAAGGACCCTCCTCTCCTTTGCGCCTCTCCATCACCTGTGCGCCCTGGAGCGCCAGGGAAATCCATGCGTTCCCAAAGTCCTGGGGCGCACGGAATTTGGGGAGGAAGGGAAGGAGGAGGGGTCTTTCATTCCGGGAGAGGATCCGGGGCCATTTTGGAGGAGCGGGGACCCGTTTTGCAGGGGATCGAGGGGATCTGGTTTTCTTTGCCTCCAATCGAGCCTTTGCCAAAGAGAGCCTGATCTCCTGGACGCTCCAGATTGGCCCCAGTTCCTGCCAGGTGGGCATGCTCCTCGACCCCTCACCTTCCCGGGATTCTTCCTTGGGGATGCCCACCAGGGAGGTCTTTTCCCTGTGGGAGCCAAAGTCCGACGCTTACCTGCATCCACAAAGCACCTGCAAAGCGAACACACCTGAGACAGAGAGAGAAACCGCCTCGTTTTAGGGCCCTGCCACACTGCACTGTGGTAAAACGAGTTGACTTCGTTTTAATCGCCATGGCAACATCCTGTGTCTGGAATCCTAGGGCTTGTCGTTTACTGAGGTTCCAGAGAGACAGAGGACCTCATCACACTAGAGAATGAATCCACTTTAAATTTGGTTTCTGCCTCCTGCAGAATTCTAGGCTTTGTAGTTTAGAAAGGAGCCTTTAATAGCTCCACTAAACTACAAACTCCAGTATTCTGCTGGAGGCAGAAACCGGATTTAAAGTGGATTCATTCTGTAGTGTGATGAGGTCTTCAGAACACTCTCTGACTTGGAGATTCCAAATACTCTTCCCAAAGGGAAGAATGCCAAGATTCCATAGGATGTTGCTATAGCAGTTAAAGTGGAACCCTAGTATTGTCGAAGGCTTTCATGGCCAGAATCACTGTGGGTTGTTGTGAGCTTTCCAGGCTGTATGGCCATGTTCAAGAAGCATTCTCTCCTGACGTTTTGTAGGCAACCCATGATCTTCTAAAAGTTGATCTGCACCAGACCTATCTGCTATTTGTTTGTATAGAGCAACAAAGTGAGACAATCTGACCTGGAGAGCCACCAGTTGCCCATCCCTCCTGTAGAAACTCAACTCTGGCCTAACTCTTGTTAGGCTGACAAAGCTGTAGAAGGAAATAGCCAAGAGTCACAACATAGAATCATAGAGTTGGAAGAGACCTCATGGGCCATCCAGTCCAACCCCTGCCAAGAAGCAGAAAAATTGCATTCAAAGCACCCCCGACAGATGGCCATCTAGCCTCTGTTTAAAAGCCTCCAAAGAAGGAGCCTCCACTGCACTCCGGGGCAGAGAGTTCCACTGCTGAATGGCTCTCACAGTCAGGAAGTTCTTCCTAATGTTAAGGTGGAATCTCCTTTCCTGTAGTTTGAAGCCATTGTTCCGCATCTTAGTCTCCAGGGCAGCAGAAAACAAATTCACTCCCTCCTCCCTATGACTTCCTCTCACATATTTATAAATGGCTATCATGTCTCCTCTCAGCCTTTTCTTCTTCAGGCTAAGCATGCCCAGCTCTTTAAGCCTCTCCTCATAGGGCCTCTCCTCATAGGCCTTGATCATTTTAGTTGCCCTCCTCTGGACACATTCCAGCTTATCAATATTTCTTCAATTGTGGTGCCCAGAATTGGACACAATATTCCAGGTGTGGTCTAACCAAGGCAGAATAGAGGGGTAACATGGATATAGATACTATACACCTAGTTATTTCATAGTGAAGGAGAGTGTGAACCCTCCTTATTTTCAGGAAGGCCATTATGTAGTTTCTAACTTTACAATTAATTACTGCTCTGCTCTATTGCGCCCTGCATTGCACTCCAAATGAGCAGATCCACTGTTAAAAATTAGGAAGGGAAAATAGCAGACATGAAAGCTAACCACCTGAAAGTCCCTGAAAGGTGGGGTTACTTTTGAAGTTTATGTTTTAGGGAAATCTAAACCATTTTGCGAATAGGTGGTTCTACAGTTAACCACGTTTTTATGTATTTGTTCAGTCGCTTCCGACTCTTCATGACCTTGTGGACCAGCCCACGCCAGAGCTCCCTGTTGGCCATCACCCCCCCCCCCGCCCCCCAAGCTCCTTCAGAGTCAAGCCAGTCACTTCAAGGATGCCATCCATCCATCTTGCCCTTGGTCGGCCCCTCTTCCGTTTTCCTTCCATTTTCCCCAGCATCATTGTCTTCTCTGAGCTTTCCTGTCTTCTCACGATGTGGCCAAAATGCTTCATCTTTGCCTCTACTATCCTTCCCTCCAGTGAGCAGTTGGGTTTTATTTCCTGAAGTATGATTTCCTGGCTCCAGTCTGCGTCTGCAGGAATCTTTGCACCTAGAAATACAAAGTCTGTCACTGCCTCCATGTTTTCTCCCTCTATTTGCCAGTTATTAATCAGTCCGGTGGCGCAGTGGGTTAAAGCACTGAGCTGCTCAGCTTGTTGATCGAAAGGTCGCAGGTTCAATTCCGGGGAGCAGCGTGAGCTTCCGCTGTCAGCCCTAGCTTCTGCCAACCTAGCAGTTCGAAAACATGCAAATGTGAGTAGGTCAATAGGTACCGCTCCGGCAGGAAGGTAACGGCGCTCCATGCAGTCATGCCGGCCACATGACCTTGGAGGCGTCTACGGACAACGCTGGCTCTTTGGCTTAGAAATGGAGATGAGCACCACACCCCAGAGTCAGACATGACTGGACTTAATGTCAGGGGACTACCTTTACCTTACCTTAATCAGTCTGGTTGCCAGAATCTTGATATTCTGATGTTTAACTGCAACCCAGCTTTTGCACTTTCTTCTTTCACCTTGATTAGAAGGCGCCGCAGCAACTCCTCACCATGTTTTGACCCTTTTTATTCCTTTTCTGTAGGTTGGTAGTACCCATCCTGCTTGGGGAGGTAGGACGATGAGTGAAAGTAACAATTACCAACGGGCAAATGCAGGTAGGAGACGTCGTGGAGGTGCAGCAAAGCAAGGTAAGTGTATGTGAGAAGCTGGCATGTTGGCTAGAAGATACTAGGAGTTGTAGCGCAACACATTGGGGGGAAGAAAGCTGTTGTTTTTCCCTTCGTGCCAGCATATCAGATGTGCAAGTGAGCATGACCTACTTCCATAGTAGTTTCTTTAGGCATTTTGTTATGGGTAGAGACCCTAAGAGTGTTTTGTACTGCAAGGAGGTGGAACTAGTGCTACCCAGATACTCAGAATTATATCTTCCATAAGCCACAAGCAGGATAATACTTGCCTTGGGGTAACGGGATCATATTCCAAAACATCTGGAGGGACACAAGCTCTAATTCTTCCTGTATGAGTATGATGGCAAGCAGGACTATATGCCTCCATCTCCCCAAACTATGTTCAAAAGCTGCTTTAGGATCGCTGTGAGTGTTCTGGGCTGTATGGCCATGTTCCAGAAGCATTCTCTCCTTACTTTTCACCCACATCTATGTCAGGTATCCTCAGATGTCATGAGGTCTGTTGGAAACAAAGTAAGTGAGGTTTATATATCTGTGGAATGTCCAGGGTGGGAGAAAAAATATTGTCTGCTTGAGGCAAGAGTGAATGTTGCAATTGCTCACCTTTATTAGCACTGAATGGCCTCGTAAATTCAAAGCCTGGATCATTGCTGTCCTTTGTTGGGAAGTGTTAGCTGGCCTTGATTGATTCTTGTTTGGAATTCCTGTTTTTTGAGTGTTGATCTTTATTTACTGTCCTGCCTTTAGAGTTTAGCAACCCAGTGATTCGGCCTCTTAGAGCCTTCAACAACACAGATGCTTTACTTTATCTGTTAGCTAAACTTCCTACAGGATTTCATGCCCAAAGAAAGCTGCTGTTAGGCTCCTGTATTTCCTTCCTTTATCACCCATTCCCTTGGTTTATATGTTTACAGTGAAAGAAAATAATGAAGCTTACAAACTTTTGGATGAACCACATCAGATGGAGTCTCAGACACAAACTCAACAACAATTGTATTATGGCTTGAGCCCACTACAGAATTTTGATGGTGAGAAAAAAAAATCCTATCCCTTCCACCCTCTCTGGGTAGTATTTCTGCATCCTTTAAATACATATTGGATTACATTTGGCTTTCTGCATAGGATGAACTACAACTCTCAGGATTCCTGACCATTAGCCATACTGGTTGTGGTTTCTGGGAACTGATATGCAAAGCTATCGCAAGGGCCAAAGCTTCCCCACGCTTTGACATAGGCAATATCTTGTGTCTATTCATGCAATTAATGTATTATTATTATTATTATTATTATTATTATTATTATTATTATTGTTATTACATATTAATAATTTATTATTATTATTTTTATTTTTATTATTATTATTATTATTGCCATTCCAAAAGATTTCAGCCGGCATTTGAAAACAATAAACATTGAAAAAATCATAATCTGTCAACTGTTTGGGGACGAGAGCAGTGAGCAGGATTTGATGGTGTTTTGAGAAAAACAGGAAAAGTA